AACGTATATCCTTCGCGTTTTAAGCACAATTAAGTCTTAAGGATCAGGTGGGGTCGTTTAAGCCAAGCGCCCGAAATAAACTAAACTAGGCCCTTGCCGCGGGGTAAGTAAACAGTAGTCAGAAATTACTAGGTAGCAGATTGTATTTACCAAATTTGAAAGACGTAGCTGAGCTAGAAAACGCTCACTTAATTTTAAAGTTTGTCTACAGTTTTCAGTTTTCAGTTTTCCCGCGAACCGCGTTTACCCAGCCAAATTTACAGATAAATATATGGAAAATTACTAAACTTAACTGAGCGTCTTCTAGCCGAGCTACATCCTTCAAACCTGGTGAATACAATCTTCTACCCAGTATTTTAATGTTGCGATTCACAAATTGTGTAAAATTCAATTTTTGAAAAAGTTAGTTAGTTGCCATCGGATTCCGAGACAAACACTGTAATTTCTGACCGCTTTGCCTACCCGTGAAGATGGCATCGAAAACCGTGATTAGGTTCAAGGTACAGACCATACTGCGCTTCTGTGGTCGTAGGGTTAGTATCGCATTATTCATTGGTTATGACAATCTGTGCGTGCGACCATCATCGACCGTGGTCCGGAGGCAGAACCGAATGACATTCTGAAGAAAATTCTTTTTTTATCGACTGTATTGGAAAAAAATTTAGAGAATTTAAACAATTTTAAGTATCTTTGACCGACAAGCCATTATCTCTTTTAAACAGGGAGGGTTTATTCTCTTCACTTTGACTTTATTTAGTGGTCCATATTTAAGGTATCGTGGTCAAATTTGGCTAGCTAATTAAATCTATTTACAATTAAAAGAGGATAGGTAAGACTCTTTGTTAATAAAATCCTCATCCTAACGAGGTTAATGCAACAAAAATAATTGTTGATAGTTCAACATGATTTCGTCTTCAACTTCTTACATTGAATCTCCTCATAAAAATTACTCCTGCTATCAACATCGGTCTTTGTTAATTAGTAACACCATGAACCGTATAGCTGCCCAGTCGTAATAGCCCATTAAGGTTACTTCGGGCAGCCGTGTACTCTTTTCTTATTTTAAAATTATTTTTGTTCATTTAATTTTTAACTGAGAGTACAAGTAAAGTTGTTGTTGTTGTTGAATTTTGGGACTCATGATGAGCTTAACAGTGACCTTCCGCAATCCTATTGATCTTTTTATTGAAACTATTCTTATTAGTCTCTGTGATGTCGCTACACGATGAGCCTGATGTTGACGAAGGATTTGCTGAACTTGCAGAACGCCTTCCCAAAGTTAATTCACTTGCTTCGCTTCCAGCAGAGAAATGGTTTTCGCTTTCGTCGATTCTACGGTCTCCATCGTCTTGATCCAAGAGATGTCGTCTCTCGTTATTTTGTGGTCTTTTAAGCAATCTCCATATGATAATCGGGACAATGACAAGACCAAGGACTCCAGCAACACTAGCGACTATTGGAACCGTGACGTCAACCGGGTCATCTAAACACGCACAGAGAAATAAAATTGATACACTTTTTTTTTTCAGATAGGTTTTTTCTTTTGAGATAGATTTATCGCTTAACTTACTAGGATCAGTGGTGGCTGTGGGCTCCTTTGTAGTATGTGTTACAGGCCTAAACAGGCAGGAATTCGCACATGCACACTGGTGCGTTAGAATAAATTCCTGAAACAAGAAAAAACAAGAAATTGAACAAGAATACTTTAAATGTTAGAAACTATAACAGATTGTACCAAATGAAACATTTAAATCTAACTGAACGTTAGGTTAAACTCGTTACAACTGAGAGGTCAAGAACGCTTTAGCTGGCACTGCCGTTATTCTTGTTAGCTGCGAAGAAAAAGACTCTTATCGTGTCATTCCGACAAGGCAATACGGGTTTAACAGCCAATCGTGTTACGAGTTTCCACATTATGATTAACAGCAGCTCGCCGGAAATTTTGTCCAGCAGAACGAGATAATTAACTAAGCTAGCTGGAACATTATAGGTCCTCGGTCTTTTTTGTACGTACTGTCAAGACCTCGGGCCGATCTTCTGCCAGTACAGCGTTCGCGCCTTGTTAATAATAACTACTTAATAACCGAGAGTGAGGTCGTTACGGGAAAATCTCAAACTGATGCCTTGCCGTATTGACCTCGCTATCGCTCGGTCAATACGGTAGGCCGAGGTTTGATATTTTCCCGTAACGACCGAACGGTTGAGGTTATTAAGTTGTTTATTATATGGCTCACGAATTGAAGAAAAAAAAAATTATTCGAGCGGAAGTC